TTCCGGCAACTCAGTTACTATTCACGGCCTGAGATCAACAAACACCATCGTTTGTCTCACCGGGGGGTTTTGAAGTGAGCAGAAGCAATATGTCTTCCCGCGGTAGAGCACTATATATAGAACACTAACCGCCGCCATTACGTAGGCAGAAGCAGTCGACTGCTTCACTTGGTCGCAAGACATGAATCAGACGCTAACATTCACCGCTGCCGTTCAGACATGGAGTATCTGCCATAGATCAACTCGTTGGTTGTCGTCCATCCCGCCATCGTGCATCGGCCCCAAAAAGCATGATCTTGCGAGCTACCATTCTAACGAATTTTTTTTGGCTCGAAGACTGCTGTGTTGTACTGCATATGCAACAGGTACATTGGTGTTGGGGGACAAAAACAAAGCAACTGAAGGCTGAAAATAACAGGTGGGAATAAGCAGGCAATCCTATAACTACGCAAGTACGTGGTACGTCGCACACCGTACCTGCAGGCTAAGAAAACCCAATGCCACATGTGCACAGCGGGAGAATAAAAAATTCAATTCCTGGCTGCTGCTTGCATGCGCAGATTTTTCCATCCAGTCGCCTAAACTGACTACATCACTGGGACATCTTGTCGGCGTCGGATTTCTCCGTGAATGTACGGTCGGATTACACGCAGCTGGGGGTTCGAAGATTCCATCGATCAGAAGAACGAAGATTTGGATATCTCTGGTAGAATTGGGGCGAGATAATCTCGGCAGGGGTCAAATCCAATCGCATAAACTTGTTTATCATTGGGGCCAGACCGGGTTCCTGCTGCTGTCATCCTGATGTTGAATGAACCGTCTCACCAGGGGCATCGAGTCACTCTTGGCGATATGCTCACTCATTCACACAGCCCCAGATCCTGCTGAAGAGGATGAAACCTAGAGGTCGATTCTATGAGTCTTTTCCAATTACCAGTGTATGGAAAGTTCTAGGCTCTCCGAGAAACTTGACAGCGAAATGATTACCGGGGCCAATCTGTGTTGTCAATCCCGTAACTGACGGTATAAAGCATGCTGTGTGATTGATAAAGTGGCGAGACGTGATCGATCATTCATCAGGATCAATTCTCACCTCCATCTCCTGACATCAGCACGGGTGATCTAGGTGATCTATCCAGCTTTCCGCTGAGTCCCGCTCCGAGTGCTAATCCAGCCCGCTCCCGAAAGCAACGAGCACCACGAATCGCGGTCGATTGCATTTGGTCCGGAACGCTCACAATGTCATCTCCTAGGTGTGTTTTGGCAGCGATCGGTATATGCACCGCCAGGTTGCCTGCTAGACTGTGATATTCATCATCAGTGGTCAGTTAATCCAATTGCCTATGTCAACAACAGAAGGCGTCCAGAATGACTGCCTCGTTTACGCGCCAAAAGCTAGCTGATCTTTCATGATCGATTCGGCAGATTTTTGGGCCTCGTTATGATAAAAGGCTTTCTATGGCTTGCACTAATTAATACGTTCAGTTGTAGCTTTAATACGAGCTCTTCGGGCATTGAGGGCCTCACTGAAGAGACGGAATCATGAGTACAAAGTAGTATATAGAAAAATCCAATCACTACATTGATGGGACTATTGCGAGTAATATGAGCCTGAACATCTAATCACTTCATTGGGAGGCAGATTCCAAACGCCAACATATGCGACCGGCCCAAGTTCCAAATTCTTAACCTAAACGAATACTAGGCGAAGACTCATCTTCAACACCTCCACAATTGGAGCCTACACCACGTCGCGAGCAATGTATGGTATGCCACTCAATATGTCAGTAATAGTAAAAGGATGGCCTGTAAACTGTCACTTGGGTCCACTAACCTCTGTGATAATGATGGTGTGGGCACGATTCGATATGCCTAGACATTGCTGTGTTGACGGCTCTGGAACTAGTACATGATGCCTCTATTCATGAAGTCATAGAGTGAAACGCGAAAGTGAGTATCATGAAACAATTCTTCTGCTATAGAGTATAAGAGCTCCTTCAGTCACAAATTTCGCTTGGATGGTACTCTTAATAGTATTCGGATAGTAATATATATATTTGCATCCGGCAGTTCTTATCTGGTGCATTCGGACGCCCAGGGTCAAAATAATTACCTCAATATGCAATGTATGAACGAACTGGTAAAAGCCCCCGGCAACATATGCTCCCACATGCATCCATTTACAATCCGGGACAATTCTGCGAATCTCCGTCAATCAATTGGTGTCCATCGGAGAGATCTCATCGAACATAAGTACTAAATGATGCTCTGCTGGGACCCACATCAACCCGGTATGAGATGATTTTATTGGCGGTGAAGACAGCCTCAAAGGCTCCCGATTGCACAACACTGCATACCTAGTAAGTATCTGTGTACATAAGAAATGGCCCTACTTATGATATTCGTTGATAACCAATCAAAATTGCAGATGGGGTGTTTATACACATTCATGGCCAGTGTCATGCAGTTACTAAGAGTTTTCATACTGGCTATGGCTAAGCAGTTCGATAAAATCATTCGCCTTGTGTAAACCTTCTTTATCCAGGCTGTCAAGCGATTGTGTCCCTACTTATTACTGTAGCAGTACAAGCACTCAATAATGAGGAATCCTCGGTCGCTCCCCACTGGTACGAGAAAATCCCACACACCAGTACCAGAACAAACAACATGATTGCTGGGATAACCACCCCAACAAATCTATCCACACATCATGTTGATGTGTCCTTTTGGTGACCGATAAGCCGGAAGCTTAAAGAAAGATCCGGCCCTTCCCCCCACCTCGGGAAGCTTAGGATAGCCGAAGCAGCCAACTGGCGTTGCGATGTTACTTATTATTACTTATTAGGCTTTCAGGAGAATAATGGCGGTCGCGTGATTTGGGGCTGACTCCATAAACTCTCTTTCTTCCCCGCGAAAACACCAACTCCGGCCTGCAATTCTCCATCCCCTTCCCCAATCCCCATTCTCTCTCACTACTCTGGGTGGCGTACCTTCGCGCCCCTTCCAGTCATGCTGGACTTCTACACGTTGGCGGTGCTCGGCCTCCTGGCCGTCTTCGGATACGCCTTCAGCCGTCGCGAGAAGCCCGACCCGCGCGAACCACCATTGGTGCGCAGCAGTATTCCCGTGGTCGGCCATCTGCTGTGTTTCTTGTGGTATGGCCTATCATACTTTACCATGCTGACGTGAGTTTTCGAGTCCCTACAAGCTGTGTAATTGGGAGCCAGACGACGGACCTTCTAACGCGCCGTAGCGAGAAACACGCCTTACCCATTTTCGGCCTCAATATGGTCTTCACCAAGAGCTACCTGGTGACCTCGCCTAGCATCCTGCTGTCCATCCAACGGAACAAAAAGTCCCTGAGCTTTGACCCGTTCATCAGCATGACGGCTGAGCGTATGGTCGGCATTCGTGGCCCGACGCTGGAGCTGATTCGCGAAAAGCAATCGGGCGGCCAGGGATTGACGCAAACCATCATCCATGCCATGCAGCCCACTCTGATAGGCGCGCCCTTGGATCGGATGAACGAGCGCATGACGCGCCTGCTACGACCCTTGGTGGATGAGCTGGCCAGCGCCACCACCATCGACCTCTACGGCTGGTGTCGCCATGCCATCACGGTCGCCAGTACGAATGCCTCGTATGGACCACTGAACCCCTACAAGGATGCGAACATCGAGAAATCTTTCTGGTGAGTGACTAGTATTCTACGCGGAGTTAAGTGAATTATGGGACTGAGTCTACAAGGTCCTTTGAGTCGCACCTCAGTCCATTGATGGCCAACTTCCTCCCCTGGCTCACTGCGCGCACTGCGTGGCGGGGGCGCGAGGCGGTCGTGGCCGCCATGGTGCGTTACTACGAGCAAGGGGGCCATGAGGACGGATCGGACTTGACCCAGGTACGTTGGAAGACGATGAGAGAGGCTGGGATGCCCGTCGGGGATATTGCGCGGGAGGAGGTGGGCATGGGCATCGGGCTTCTCTCTAACACGGTCCCCGCTGCCTTCTGGGTGCTGTATGAGCTGTATTCCCGACCCGACCTGCTGGAGGAAATCCGGGAGGAGATTCGCACGAATGCGCTCCGCGTCGACGCCGACCAGCGACACATCGTCGATATCTCGGCTCTACGCGACAACTGCCCGCTCGTGGTCTCGAGCTTCCAGGAAATCCTACGCGTGCAGTCTGCATCCGCCCCGACCCGATTTGTCATGGAGGACGTGATGCTGGCGGATCAATATTTCCTCAAAGCGGGCAGCATGATCAACATGCCGGCCAAGACGTTGGGTCGCATGCCCGAGGCATGGGGAGAGACGGCGCGGGAGTTCGATGCGCGGCGGTACATCCGGTCGGAGGAGAAGAACCCGCGGCGCACGGCAGGCTTTATGACATTTGGAGTGTCCCCCGTCATTTGTCCCGGACGACACTTTGCCAGCTCGGAGATTCTCGGATTAGCCGCTCTGTTAGTGCTCCGATATGATATAGCGCCGGTGGATGGGCAGTGGCGCACGCCGCGGTTGAACTCGATGGCGGTCGCGTCGAACATGCGACCACTCAAGGATAAGTTTCCAGTGACGGTGCGTCCCCGTAGCGAATACGCGGGAGTGGAATGGGACTGTACGGTGCAGCCCGGTAGTGGAGTGTTTAACTTGATGGTGGGATAGGAGTAGTAGCTTGTATGATGTAGAATGGGATGAATAACTGCCCATAAGGATCTGCCATGAACCACGTGGCTGGTTATACCTTATTTGTTCTTTTCCAAGAGAAAAAGTTCCGGTCGCTGCTGCAGTCGAAAATAAAAGAAAGGTGATTGAGCACGTGGCCTGTGTAACCCCGAGTCATGCCCCGAATTGGGGTGCATCGACCCATTTCATTGATTCTGATCGAGTCCGGTCTGACCAAGAATACTACCTACATTGAGCCATCTTTGGTAGTACTACTGATCCTCAAACTTGAAGCAACCATGCATCGATTCATCCTAGCAGCAGCTGCGCCAGCTGCAGGATGCGCCAGAAAGGGCGGCACGTGGGCCCAAGCGCCGTCCTGATTAGAAGTTGATTAGAAGCCCCCATTTGAGCCCACGTGCCTGACAGACTGGCAGTTCTATCCCTGCCCCTTATTCCTTGACAAAGAGAATCAGTGAAGTCTCGGTCAATGAAATATAATGCTGTTGGTTCAATATCCTCTTCTGATATCTGGCATAGGGTGTAAGGGGAAATGGCAGAAAACTTCGAAGTTACAGTATCCCAACTGTCTGCACTGCGACCGCTTATCGCGAATCAGCAGCGATGGCTCTATCGCGCCACCACCCCCTGTACCATCGAATGAGAGTGCGACCAGACGGGAGATTGGCTCGTTGCTCTGCACGCGCCCGATTGCCCTGCAACGAGCGTCCCTCCGAGCTGCGTATATTCCTCCCTTCGGATTTCCCCCCCCCTTACTCCGTACTTGGGGGGCCAACCGGCGACACCCAGTGAGCCCTGCACGTGGAGCGACGGTGTCAGTCGGGCTGGATCCATGGTGTCCCCACTTCAAGCTTTTAAGCAGAGAAGCTTGGTACCTACCCAGTAGTAGTAATCCTATCTAGGACTAGGTAGTCCTTAGGTAGTAAGTAGACAAAGTGGCTCGGGGACACCGAATCACGAGTTCCTATCGTCGTCTGCCGGTGGGTCGCCTATCTATCTCTCTCTCTGCTTACTGTGTAGTCAATATCCTCCTCATGGTTTACGCTACCGGAGATAGGCTGAAAATGTCTGTCAAAGTGTCCCTATGGACCAGTGAGATACGAGGAACCTGGCCCATTCCCTCGTGCGCACGCCGTACTACCTCAACCTTGACACTATCCTCTCCTCTCCCCACCACTGAGATCGGCTTTGCATTTCACTCTCTTCCTTCAGCCCAGTTCCCTGCCGCGATGCTGGAGCAATTTCCTCGGACAAGCTTTGCCGGCTGCTGCAGGTCACCGACTCTATAAAGCCTAGCCTCTCCCCCACCCACCGGTCGAGCGTCTTCCTGCTGTTGATTGTTGCCGCTGTTGGTAGGGTATCCCGTGGTCTCGTGCTCTGGCTGGCTAACGTTGCCCCTCCTGCTGCTTCCCCCTTGCTTTATCTTCTTTTTTACATCCTCCACTTCTCCCAGTTAGATCTGTCTATCTGTCAGTTTTCGAGACTGCAATCTAAGTCTACACCATGATGGACCGCAGTGACGAGAAGACCAAGGAGCTGGTGGTGTCGCCGCACGGTGACCCTCACGTCGATGAGGATCCCTTGGCCGACACCGACAAATCCTTCTGGGAGCGCAGTTGGCCTACCTTTGCCTGTGGTGCTGGTTTGTGGTCGGATGGATACTTGCAATATGTCAGTGACCTCTTCTCTTCTAATATGTCCCTTGAGGTTCAATCGCACTGACATAGGTTATGGCCGTCAGGTCATCGGTACCGTCAACACCATGCTCGACAAAATTTATCCCAAGATCTACGATGGCTCCACCTACAGTCAGAATGTCTCGTCTATCGCTTTCGCTGGAACTGTTGTTGGCATGCTCTTTTTTGGCTACCTCTCCGATCACTGGTCTCGATCCAACACCCTCATGGTCTCCACTGTCATCCTGTTCGTTTTTGGTGCTCTCTGTGCCGGTGCCTATGGTCATAATGGCAGCCTCCCCGGCATGTTCACGGCCTTGACTGTCTATCGCTTCTTCTTGGGACTGGGTGTCGGAGGTGAATACCCCGCTGGTTCCGTCGCCGCCGCCGAGAGCAGTGGAGAGCTGGCCGAGGGCACCCGGCATCGCTGGTTCATTCTCTTCACTAACTTCCAGCTGGATTTGGCCTCTGTCGCTTCGTCGCTTGTGCCCATGATTGTCGTACTCGCCACTGGAGAGAATCATCTTCGCGCTGCCTGGCGTATCTGCCTGGGTCTTGGTGTCATTCCTCCGCTCAGTCTGATCTACCTGCGGATGAAGCTGAAGGAACCCGCCGAGTACACCCGTGAGAAGATGAACAAGTTTCCCGTCTGGCTGATTGTCAAGTAAGCCTCAGCCCCCTCCCCCCGATGGGATCAGGATACAACTAACCCGATATCAACAGATTCTACTGGAAGCGTTGGGTAAGCCTGCCAGGAACTTTAAGCAAACCTTAACGTTTCGAATGCGCTAACTTGTCAAGTGTGTCGTATCCTTGATCTGGTTCATCTACGACTTCTCCACCTACTCTTTTAGTATCTACTCGTCCGCTTGGTTGGCCGATATCATTGGCGATAGCGCACCCATGTGGCAGACTCTCGGCTGGAACACCCTCATCAACGTCTTCTACCTACCCGGGTCTGCTCTGGGCGCATTCCTGAGCGATTGGTACGGTCCGCGCAACACACTAGCATTCGGAGTGTTCGTCCAAGGAGCCATCGGTCTGATCATGACCGGATGCTACCCCTACCTGGATACCCCTCACTACGTGGCCGCCTTTGTCGTTGTCTACGGGTGAGTTCATTTTCGATCCCCTTTCGTCCCACTTCGCACTAACCACTCGGATGACAGTATCTTCCTCGCCATGGGCGAAGTCGGCCCCGGCGATAACATCGGTCTCTGTGCCGCCAAGACCTGCGCGACACCCATCCGCGGTCAATACTACGGCACCGCAGCCGCCATGGGCAAAATTGGCGCATTCGTGGGCACCTACGTATTCCCCGTGATTGTCAAGAACGCCCCGAACAAGATCCGCCAGGGCCAGGATCCGTTCTACGTGTCCAGTGCCCTGTGTATCTTTAGTGCGTTTTTGGCGTTCTTTTGCTTGCCTCATATTGGCCAGGTACGTGACCTGTCAACATGTTCTGATTGACTGTGTGTCAGTGACTAACGAATGATAGGATACCATCACGCACGAGGATGCTCGCTTCCGCGCTTATCTCGAGTCCCACGGGTACGACACATCCAGCATGGGCACGGGAGGGGGCGAGAGGCAGAGGACGCAGTAAAGAATGCATTCGATGAGTTGAACGAGCCATGTATCCTATTTTTCATTCAGAGAAAAGTGTATTCTTGATCATGAGCATACTAGTTACGGTACATAATTTAATGCCCCTTTACGGAGATATAATCTGTACCCTATCGCAATGAACGTACAACCCACTGCATTGAGTAGATAAATGCATAACATGGAAACTACATATCAGTAAGCTGAAATAGAATCTGCTGCCCAAAGTCACATGTCAGAAGATAAAAGTGACCAGAACCGGTAAGTTGCTATGTTATCGTGCATACCGGACACCAGACCCCCGACCCTCGACCCACAAATCCGGCCCATTATCTCTGCGTCAAATAGATAACCCTAGATAACAACCTCCCAAGTGACCCTGCTGTTGCAGCCCAGGATTCCACGCCAACCATCCTGCTGGAAGATAGACTTCGGCCGTCCGTTGGATCTCCGGAAATCCGGCAGCCGGAGATACGATAACTTTCGACGTCGACTCTTCATTCTATCAACTCTAGGATAAGGTATGCTACGACGGATTGCATGTGAAAGATCAGATAGTCTCCTCACCGTATCTATATTTTTTTTTTTTTTTAAGTTGACAGTCGGCGGATTCGCAAGATAAGCTCAATCAAGCTACATACCGATTATCTACTCCTGTTTCTTAGCGGAATGTACAGTAGATACATGGCGGTGGTTGAGTAAGTGAAGCAATACTGATCAAATAACACTCATATTCAATAAAAAGAATCACTAAAAGATGCTATTCTGACCAAAATCCTGGCAACTACTTCAGACGTAGCTGGTTCATCCAGTCTTGGAACGAAAGACCAGTTCGTCTATGGTGGAAGACACCCACATTGTTTTCGTATCTGCCCCAAGTGAGGGACATATCTACGATTTTCAGCGGATTTTTCCTAAACATCACCTTTCGTAATGCAAGGTATTGCAGGTTAAGCTCGTCGCGGATGAACTCCAAAAGACGCCACCAATGGCGCTTGGTCTCCTCCATGTCTTGAGGCAGAGGACCGGACGGATCATCAGCCTCAGCCAGGCTGATCGCTCTCAGAGTTAGAATTTGCAAAGTGGATGATACTGCACGAAGGAATTGTTTTAGACTGTCTATTGGGAGTTCGATGAGCCGCAGACGCACAACTCGCAGGCGCTGAAACGGTAGTCCTTGAAAAAGCCCATGAACACGGCGAGGTTCCCGGTAGATTGATGAATTGTAGGGTCCGATTTGGTAGCGTAGTATCTCGCGACTTGGGGCAACCGCCGCCAAGAAATCACACTGACGTTGTCGGTGGGAAGAAATGGCTGAGCTCTCATGACAGAGGTGTAAGCGCGACAATCCCTGTAAGCAGGAAAGAAAAGATGCCCATTCTTCGGGGGTCAAATACAACCTGCCAAGTCCCACCCCATAGCAGTGTGTGCCACAGGTCGACAGCCTCTTCACCTTTCGGCCACTGGCGATCAGAGCCTTTGCAAGGAGAGTGAAAGCCAGATCATGCTCCCTGGCGACCCGTTTGTGCGAGAAGCGCTCCCTCTTGAAGTCGGGATGAAAACCCAACTGTGCTCTGAGTCTACGCCAGCCTAGACAGATGATGTCACCAGTCGCTTTGGCAGGGCAATATTCTAAACTGACGGAAGATAAGTTGACAAACCGCCTGATACATTCTTGGAGAAGGATGATGGAAGTCACCGAGGTCAGCGCGTGTCGATGGTCCGCCATGGCAGCCTTGTAGACGGCATTGTATGCCTTACCATCGACTTGTTCAGAGTCCTGCTCCTTCCGGGATCTTCCCAAAGCCCCTTGGATACAATCCCACCGCCGAAAATCCGAGTAGGTGGCGTTATAGTGACCATTAAGCAGCTCCGGGACAACCATTAGGATTTGTACATGTTCGCGGATGCCCTCCTGCATGGAAAGCTCTGAGAGCCGTTGTATTCCGTCGGTGGTGAGCAGGACACTAATTCTGCGGAAAGCGCGACGTCGAAAGGCATCTGCCGTTGTAATGAAGAGCGACCGACAGGTCAGTCGAAGCGCGTATAAGGCGGCCATTCCCCGGTGTGTGCAGATTTTGCTCACCAACTCAACGGGGAAAGACGTGATGGGCATTTTTGGGGGAAGTTAGTCGAGTGGATGGACCGAGTGTTGGGTGAGATGGCTTTGGCTTTTTCGGGGAACCAATCTGCAAGACGTCTATCCGTAGGCTGTGGGATAATAGCTACTTACTGGACCATCTTGAGGAGTCAAAACAACGAAACATGGGCCGATGGGTTTGAGTTAAAGAAATAAGACAGCTGTGAGGATTGGCCACCCTCACATTCAATATCTGTCTGCAGTGGTCCTATCTAAGTGAATTTAATTGCAGGACTGGAGAATTCACGCCTCAACGAACTTAGTCAAGACCCTCTGGATTAACCTTGGACGGCGGGCCGGGCCATGACCACAGCCAGGGAACCTCCATGGCAAGGAACTCAAAATGAAATTCTATAACATGAATAATGAAAAACAGATTCAGAGCATAATGTCGATCCGGGGCCACGGAAGGAATTCGTCAGAAAGATGAAGAAAGGAGAGACGGAGAGGAACAGTTGGGGCAGTGGATCCCCCGCCGATCGATCCCTTTTTCCCTCCCACCAACCCGGGCGGTGGGTGATCCGTGCACTGGGCGAGTCAGTCATCCATCCATCCATTCCATCTCTCTCCCCGCCAGCCTGAAGCTATTCCGACAGGGATAATATTCCTCTTTCCCTTCAATACCAAATAAACCAGCAGCTCTTCTTCATACAGATATAGTCATGGCATCTACCACCTCCCCCCTCCGCCTCGAACCCGCCACTCTCGAGGACCTCCCGGCCCTCACCGACCTCTGGTACAATGCCTTCACCACCGAATCCATGCTGATCATCTGGCCCGACACCCCGGGCGTCCGACAATGGTGGCACGAAGCCAACGAGCACGACATGCGACACAAACCCGCAGAGAAATTCCTCAAGGTCGTCGACACCTCCCAGCATAACCGCATCGTCGCCTACGCCAAATGGTCTCTGCAGACGGCGGAAGAGCGTGGTGCTCGCTGGCCGGCCTGGCATCCGGACATGAATCCGGTGCATAATGATGCTTTTGTCAAGCAGCTGGAGTCCTTCCGGGCTGCGTTGGTGGGTGGGGGGAGACCGAATTATTGTATGTTCATGTTCTCATCTACATAGCTTTGGAGAAAGGGTTGGTGTGGCTAATGAACCGTGGTAGATCTCGATATGCTGGCGACTCACACCGATTACCGACGGATGGGTGCCGCTCGTCTGCTTCTGGAATGGGGCTGTCGCGCTGCGGACCAGGCAGGCGTGCCGGTTTATATTGATGCCAGTAAGGCGGGCAAGCCCGTCTATGAGCGGTTTGGCTTCGAGGATCGTAGCCATGTCTTTGGGGATACGGGTGCTTTGGCGCCTATGGTGCGGGGCCCACTGAAGAAGGATGCTTGAGGTCATATAGTGCAGAGGACGTGGTAGAGGAGTATATACATTTCTGGTTTGAACACGGAAGAAGGATATATTTATAGTATAGAACCAAGGCCCGCCAACGAAACTGGTGGCCAAACCCCTACCCAATCGATACAATAGATCAAGTACTTCAACCACGCTAATAACAAGAACCTAAAGTGTCCACAACGAGCTCTATGTAAATAACCACTGACCATCCTCATCTATATCTTGGCAGGTCTCCGGACCAGCGCATTCGTCAAGGTCAAGAGACTGTCTCGCTCCTGCGCCGTAAACTCCCGACGTCCAGGACCACCCCGACTGCCATCACCGCCACCGCGAGCACTGGCGCCCGTGAACAGGTCATCTTGCGCCCGCGAGCGGTAGTCGGTGTGGAACTTCCACCGTTCCGCCAGGTCGGCGGGCAGTTGGCCCAGGAAGGCCTTGGCAATGTATTCGCCGATCACCGGAAGGAATTTGTATGCACTAGTCCCTCGTTAGTATCATACTTGACGCCCATAGCTTGTGTGGGGAATACTCACTGTCCAGTACCGCCGGTCGCAACAAACACGTTTTGGTGTTCGGGATGGCGGTCAAAGATGAAATCGCCCGTCGGGGTCTCGTTGTACCAGCAGAGACACGTCTTCTCAAAACCTCGCGACACCAACTCGGGTAGAATCTCACCCAGTCCAGCCAGCAGTCGTTGACGGCCTTCCTCCGGAATGAAGTTAGCACGCTGTGAGATGGCCTCGCTGGGTGGTGAGGAAACGTTGGACGAGGACAAGGTGTAGCCGAAACTGTGACAAGCCACCTTCAAGTATCCGGTCTGCTCATGAGGGGGGAAGCTGAAGAATCCCGTAGACAGATTGAAGATGATGGGGAGATCCTTCAGACGCTTCACCTCCTCCGGGGTAAGCCGCACGAACCCGACGATCTGCGCGGTGGCCACCATGGTGTTCCATGAGGGCACCAGACTGGCCGTCCATGCTCCCGTCGCCAGAATGAACTGATCGGCGGTGATGCGCCCGCCATCGATGGTTCGCACGGCGGTCACTCCGCCATCCGACCCTTTCTCCAAGCTCGTTACATGTCCATGGCGACCGGTGACAAAGGAGACGCCCGCGCGGATGCAGCGATCGCGCAGGCCGGTAATGGCGAGGCCCGCATCGGCCCAGCCCGCGGCGTTGTTGTAGAATCCCTCGAAGCCTGCTCCGATGGGAGTGCCCGACACCGTGGGGAAACGATCTTTCAAGGCGGTCACATTGTCAAGGTTGTGCCATTCGCAACCCATATCCGTGAGGATCTTCTTGGTCTTGCGAATGAAGTCTGATCCGCCCGCCGAGACGAGGTCGGCAGGCCCTGACTGCTGCGCCGTCCAGACACAGGGGGTGCGATGGAAGGAGTCCGCATAGTCAGGACTGGTATTCCAAAGCTCGTAGGCATCACGGCCCATCTTCGCATAGACGGGATCGCCATAGTCGAAGCGAATAACGCGCGAGATGTCATTGCTCGATCCATCGGGGACGGGCGGCATGGACCGATCCATCACCGTGATGGAGGAGAAGCCATCTTCGGCCAGGTACAGGGCTGTGGAGAGGCCAAAGACGCCAGCTCCCACGATCACAATGGACTGTGTCTTGTCCATGACTATACTAACAAGAGAATATCCAGGAATCAGAATGTAGTGTCATGGGACTACCTCCCCCCAGGTCAGACCCCAGATTCTTAATGTGTTTGAGAACAGGCATTGGTCGGTTGTTTTGCCCCGGCTGGGAACCGGGAACCGAACCGAGTCCGTCTTGGCTTGCGCCTGCAGCAGTTGGATTCCTTCTCGTTTGGGTGAAGAAATCCGTGGATGGGGGGGGGGGGGGGAATAGCTTGAAGCGATGAATGGCAATGGAGAGACTAACCGTGGACCGGTTCCGTAGTGGAGAACTGATCATGCAGTCCAAGTGGACAAACTGCACTGGTGAACTGGCAGCTCCTCGGCCGGCTTGACAGCTCAAGCTTTCCCTAGACCGGAAACCTTCAGTCGACAAGATTAAGGTGGGCTAATAATAATCTTGCTGTAGGGAAGATCTGGGGCTTGACTTCCCAATTGGGCTATGCATGTAAGGGGGGGCTCTCTGTTTGTGCCCTCCATCACGGAGGATGAGTTTCACCTGTCCGGGTCAAAGCTCTCTTATCGCTCCGTATCTGATTGCCAGCCGGCGGATCGGCCAAAGGTCCCTTCTGCCGGCCGTGTCTATCTCCAGAGAACATGCCTCTGTATCAGCACCATGATAGCGTCGTGAGCTGGGATAGGGCTGGATGCTAATCCCATGCATTGACCAGACGAGGAACCACGGCTGCCATCGCCGCCACGAGGCGTTCCGGTGCCAGAGAATCCAGGCTCCGTCCCCGACCTCCTGATCGCTTTGGAGCCGGTGGACGGCTATGGAGCCGCTGTCAGGTCAGGGAAGAAGAGGATGGGCTGGAATGAAGCAAGATAATAGAGATAAACCAGATATCCAACTGGCTATAAAGACAGTATCTCATCTCGTCTTCAAGTCTGGTAGAACAAAAACAACGACCCAGATCCATCTCCACTCAAGAGCCTCTTTCCAGACTCTCACAAAAACTTTCAAAAAACCAACATTCTATAATTCACATCTGGTCTATATCATGGCCTCCGCATTGTGGAACTACCTGGGTCTCCGCGAGACCCCCACTGCCCCTACCAATGAGGCCGTGCGAGCCCTGCCGGCTTCGTGGTACACCTCGCAGGAGATGTTCGAGCTGGAGCGACGCGCCATCTTCTCCCGCAAATGGCTGCTGACCACTCACAAGCTGCGTCTCCCCAACACTGGAGACTGGCTGCAGTACGAGGTGTCCGGCTTCAACTTTGTCCTGGTGCGCGACAAGGAGGGCAACATCAACGCCTTCCACAACGTCTGCCGCCACCGCGCCTTCCCTCTGGTGACCGAGGAGAAGGGTTCCGCCCGCATCTTCGCCTGCAAGTACCATGGCTGGTCCTACGGCCTCAATGGCAAGCTGGCCAAGGCCCCCGGCTACCAGGACCTCGACGGCTTCGACAAGAGCAAGAACAGCCTCCTCCCCATCCACGTGCACCTCGACGCCAACGGCTTCATCTGGGTCAACCTGGATGCCGGTGAGCAGCCCGAGATCTCGTGGGACGATGACTTCAAGGGCATCGATCTGCAGTCCCGCTTTGCCGATGTCAAGTGGGAGGACTACACCTTTGACCACACCTGGGAGCAGGACGGCGACTACAACTGGAAGATCCTGGCCGACAACTACAACGAATGCTACCACTGCGCGACTACGCACCCCGACATCCCCGCCCTGGCCGACTTGGCCACCTACTCGGTCGACACCAAGGATGGCGGCATCATCCACGACGCCCACTCCAAGCCCGACCAGATCGCGGCCGGGCTCCGCATCGCTAGCACATACTACTTCCCCAATGCCTCCATGACCGTCTCGTAAGTGTGCCTCTGTCTAATTAGCCCCTACCAGTTCCCATCCCTAACGCTTTATCTGCAGGCCACACTTTTTCTTCATGCAGCGCTTCGTCCCGATCTCCCCCACCCGGTCGGTGATGAAGTACGAGGTGTACCGCAACAAGAACTCGAGCGACGAGGACTTTGAGCTGATCAACACCATGTACAAGCGCATCATGTCCGAGGACAAGTACCTCTGCGATCTGACCCAGAAGAACCTGAATGCCGGAGTGTTTGTGAACGGCGAGCTGCACCCGAAGATGGAGAAGGGCCCCTTGTATTTCCAGAAGGTGGTGCGCGACGTGGTGACGGAGCACTTCCAGCGCGAGGAGAAGGAGGGACAGGAGTACTGGCCCGCCCGTCAGCGGGTGCCCAAGGAGGCGGCGACGAGTGCGCAGGACATGCAGTTCTGCGCCAACCTGGGGTGTGGGGCGGGTAAGGAATGCTGCTCGAATATCGGAGCGCAGCCACCGGCGGCGGTCGCCTGGTGAGGGGAAAATGTTTATGAAGGGGATCGGCAATTGGGACAGAAGAGAGAGTTGTGCTATGATTCATCTTGACGAGTTTGACACATTGTTTTCGGCAAATCAGGTTAGCGATCTTTGTTTGGATTTGAGATATTGTACCGAATTAGAATAGTTTCTTATTATAACATGCTTCCCATCTTTAATGACGTTCAAGTGAATCATGGTGCATTTATTTCTGTCGCGTATTGCGACTAGATAAGTAAAACGGGGTTATCAAGAAGGCGAAGAGCGGGATGGAATAGAAGGGGGGAGATAGATAGTGGAAGAGAGGAGCAGGATGGCCAAGACGGGAAAAGCAGCCAGAAGAGAAAAGGGAACTAGACTAGACCACGTGCGCTCACCTGACCGGTGGGAAAATCACCGGACTTTTCTTTCTTTCTCCAAGACCATTTCAGGATACAACCAAGTACTGGGACAAAGAAAAGTTAAAGTTTTTTGATGATGTTAGTCAGATTGTCCAAGCCCCAGTCCTTTTATATTTTTGCTTCCCACGCCCGGTCTGGAATGTTCAAACCTTCAATCCCCTGCAAGTAGCCAGACGCACCAAAACTTGGACAGGGTGACGGGTCATGGCGGGGATTCCCAGGGAATCCCAAAGGACTGACGGGGGCCCAGCTGACCACTGGCCCTGGAGAGGGAGTGTATTGGGTGAAATTATGCGAGGGTGGCCATGAGTTCGGGGCTGCTACTAGTACTATGAATAGCCCTGCCATACGTGAATAGTAAGACCAGACTCGGCTTATCTCTCCCATCGACACACACACCGGGAGATACGTTGACTGTCAACGTTGTCTGGCTGGGACCCTCCGGGGAGAGCGGCAGATCCACCTTTTGGCGCTGTTGGTCCCTCCATCCATCCAGGAATAGCCGATAGTAATCTGGTACCACTAAATACTACTAGTAGTACTGTAGTAGTAGATAGCAGATAACCGTGAGTTCCCCCCAACTACTAGTATGTACCAAGCAGTGACAAGTTCCCAGGTTCCACTGCCAACCCAATCTAGTACTTACATACTTAGTACGGTACATACTCTCTTTTTATTTTCTATCCACACCCCCCTCCTTGCACCCTGCATCTATTCGTATTATTATTGGTTGTTGCTTATCCCCCTCCAAACCCTCCGCGTTCTCCGAAGTACTACTGACAGTATTTAGCTGGACACCCTAGTAGTATTAGTGGTGGTGGTAGTAGTAGTAGTAGTATATGCCCGCGCGCCAACTCTCGTCCCTCGTTCCTTCCTTTTCTAATCCGAATCCCCTCCTCCATTTCCCCTCCTTCTCCCTCCCCCTCTTTTGTTCCCGCGGGCATCGCGTCCCGTACTCATTCCCCTCCTCTCCCAGCAGCTCTTCCATCATCATCTTCTCTTTGAGTTACCCTGGGAAAAATAACATGACGCCACCAGAAGGACAGCGTCGGAGATTACGGTCAAATCATGCTTGTTTAAATTGCAGGTGCGAAGAGTCCAAAGAGTCTCCTATCTATGTTATGTGCCGAGAAAAAGCCACTCACCAGCATTGACAGAAGGAAGAAAACGCGCTGTCCGGGCGAGAAACCGGCCTGCTCATGCTGTGTGCGGCTTAACCAGCCGTGCTCGTATACGCCCGTCACGAGGACGTCAATAGGCAGTCCTTCCGTGGGTGCACCCAACTTCCTCTGGACTTCGCGGTTGCTGATGCTCCACCTCAGAAAGATCGGCTGGCAGAGCTGGAAGAAAAGGTCAATCTCATTCTAAACGGCAATATGTAGGTCTCTCTCTCTCTCTCTCTCTCTCCTCGCGAGATTGTCCGCAGTACAATTAAGCTCACAGATTCTCGCAGACTAGCTCGATCGACAGGTCCCGAGACGAAGTTATCGCCACCATCCCCGAGACGCCGCGATTCTCACACCCCTTATCCGGTCCCATCGGGGCTGGGCGAGGGCACTACCCCTCACTCTTCACCCTCGGTCATCGCCAGAGCGATTAATCTCTACGTGGAGCACTGTCACCGGCAGCCGGTGTGGTGTTTCGACTTCGATGGGCCAGGCGAGCCCGGCTCTCTCCCGGAGGAGCTGATTTGTAGTCTGTTGGCGCTCACCTTGCGCTACTTACATGAGCAGGAGCAGGGCCAGCATTATGCCGACGATGCTAGGACTCTCATCATGCTGCGCATTGCCAATGGGACAGTGGAGCTGGCCACGATCGAAAGTTTGTGTCTGCTGTCCTATTCTTCTTTCATCGGTACGTCTACCCCCAGAATGGCCAAGCAGTGTAGAAAAAAATAATAACTAAATTGTATGTCCCATTGTCGCAGATGGCAATACACACCTCGGACAGTTCTACCTAGGCCTGGCGTCCCAGCTTTGTCGCGCGGCCATGCTAGATGTTGCGGTCGCCTATTCCACCGATGATCCACACATGGAGCGAAAGAAGCGGCTGTTCTGGAGTCTACAGTTGCTCGAGCAATCGTACGGCCGACAGACGGGCATCTTACGCACATCGACCGAGATCTGGCGCCCACCATATTTCGCGACGGATGGCGACCAGGACAGCCACAAGGCGACGGGGCCTCCGCCGCCACCCATGCCGCAGGACAGCGTGGGATGCACGAACCCCCACGATACAGGAATCTGGAACATGAGCAATCAATTCGGCTGGGTCTGGAGTAATGTCAGGGGCTATGTATCGGACTGTGCGCGCAGCAAAATGAAGGAGCCCTGGCGGCATGAGTCAATGTACTCGATGATACTGTCCGACCTCACGGAGGTCGAGAACCGGACGCCCTTCTGCCATCGCTATGATCACGTTCAGTTCTACGAGCGTATTGGTGAGGAGCTGTCCTATGAATTAGCCTACTGGGTACCCTGGTTGAAGTTGCAGTTCATGTACCATGCCATCCTCACCGTCCTGAATCACCCGTTTCTGTACATTATGGCCTCACGCCAGAATCCCAACCTGGCCATCCCGAACAGCTTCTGGAGACGTTCCTCGGAGCTGGTGGTGCTGCACGCCACCTGGATTGTGCGCTTGATCGACATGGTGGTGGAGAAGGAAGTACGCCTGTCCGACCCCTTTTTCGCCCATGTCGCCGCCATTGCCGCCACGGTGCAGCTATACTATTGCTGTGCCGGGGATCCCCGTCTGAAATACAAGTCGCGGGTGGACTATGCCAAGTGCCGCGAGTTCCTGAGGACCTTTGCCACTACATCGCGGGCCTGCGAGGGCTTGGTAGGTGATCATCGCCCCTACCTACAGAATGAGCAGCTGACTCCCTTTCTCTGTAGCATCGCATCCTGGACCAGATGATGCGTATTGCATCCGGCTCGGAGAATGTCGACTATGAGACCTGGCTCCCGTCCAAGATCTACTTGAGTATCCCACTCATGTGGGACATACTACAGTTCAACGTCACGGATCGGTCGGCGGGCGGGAGGGCAGACGGCCGCCTGCTGCATTCCTCATTGGCAGCATCGGCAGTCGGGCAAGGCTCCGAAGAGGACTCGACGCTCGAGGTGATTGTCACAACCTCGCCGGAGGTGACGGTCAACACCGCCGACGGGGGCCAGGCGGTGCCCCTGCCTCTGTATCGGACGCCAGCGACCTCTAAAGCTAACGCAGCAGCTACTTCCATAATGCGTGACACCCTCGTTGCGCCGATTGACAGTCTAATGGTCAATACTCCATGGCTCTGGGCCGACTCGGCTCCACTGGGCGACATGGAGAGCTCCCTGGGATATGCCAACTCCGGTCCGGGCGGCGGAGATGCGGAATTTTCGTCATGGTGGAATTTGGGAAACCTGTGAACCGATCCAAACCTGCGTGAATATCTAATACCAAGAATAGTCTTGATTGCCCTTTTGATTTGATGGAGATAGTATGGCCACCTACCCACTCACACACAACCTGAGCGGAGACGTCGAAACCCGGCAATCGAGAGGAGAGAGACAAACACAAGAGTGAAAGAGAGACAGACAGGGAAGAGGAGTCCCGACCAACCCCGCACGCACAAAAGAAACCATCCTCATCTCCGTCCTCCTCCTCTCCTCTTTCACCTCGCCCTTTCCCCCTTGGCTGCTCGCCTCGCCTTTCAGTCCGCGGTCAACCTGGCAGTCCCTATGCGAGTTCTCCCTCTATCTCGAGTCTCTTTGCCCCCCCCCCCCCCCAATGAGCGAAACTCTCCAACCAAGAGACCATACGCGCCACCCGTTCTCCGACCGATAGAAGCGAGGGGCATTGCCAATCCGACGAAGGCCAAAGCTCCTCCGTAAGACACGCTAGGACCCGCCACTATCCAGTACCGCCTTGCCTGTTTTGGACATCTTTTCCCAGGGATCCATCTTTTTTCCCCCTCGCGACCTTGCCTTCCCTGGATAAGATGCGATACGATACGTCTGCCCCCCATCGGCCCGCCAACTGCTTTCCCCCTCCTTCTTTTAGCGTCATGCCCTTTGTTTGTTGTTGGGATGGCAGTAGCTACACACTTCCCGACGCAAGTCATCTCACACAAACACGGTGTCGGCTTCGCTCGTTCTTCGGCTTGATGTCGATCCCAACCCGGACGTCTCGGAACGCCATGGATATTCCATCTCTTGGACTGATAGAGCGCAAGGGAGACGACGGTGGAACCGGTACTGCAGACGCCCAGCAGGGGTTCCCGGTGTGCTATGCTGTCTCTTCATGCTTATCGGCCATCAGTTTCCCGCGCGAAACGCGTCACCCCAAAGCAGGGGGGGGGGGGGGGGGGGTTGCACATGGCTAGTACCTCAATTCCCCAATTGCCGAGTTCGGGGAAGGCGGGGTTTAAGAAAAGTAATTTTCCGATGCCGCCGGGCTATGCGACCAGAACCTTCGCTGTATGCTGTAACTCGCCACCTCCAAGTTTACCATGGCGATGCCTTTGATTAGTGTGGATGGCACATTCATGGTCATCCTTCCCTTTTCCGTGTTTCCTCTCTACATCATAATGGATCTCAGCCAATCGAGCTTTCCTGTTCCCGACAGCCTGATGGGGACCTCTGCTACATCAGTAGCAGAGGTTGATATCGGGACACACTAACTCTTTTGCAGATTGCTGGCTCCTCCTGCATAGACCAGTCTCAACAGGATTTGTTGTCTATAGTCTCTAGTATTCCTGTTGTATCTAATGTCTAATATCTACTGATGCTCTTTAACCAGACTACGACTTCTATCCCAACGCACTCTTCAGCCACTCATGGGCCTGGCCATATATGTCCTCGCAAACCCTTTTCCGGTACGCTCTTTCGGCCGCATTCCCCTCCTGGCCGTGCGTGAAGCCATGCGTGCACCCTCGGGCCAAGGTCCACTTATACGCAGACGTCTCGAAGGGCGCTTCCTGGTCCTCTTTATCGTGCAGCCCCGCCAGGCGGTGGATCATCTGCTGGACTTCCAACCGCAGCATATCCCACTGCGCGGCAATCATGTAGATGCGCGGGGGCAGGTCTTTCGGGTCAGCGTACCAGGGGCTCAACAGCGGATCGCGTCGGTTCTGTCCCACACAGACATACCCCCAGTCCAGAGCCCACGCCATCATGCCTATCTTGTCCAAGGGACCATCCGTGTAGGGGCGGGAGGCTAGTTTGATGGGCGGGGGATGGCCAAAGTCGACAATCGGGTAGTAGACGACGGCGGCTTTGACCCGTCCATGCAGGGGAGGCAGCTGCGACACCGACAAGGCCAGATTCCCGCCCGCACTGAACCCCCCAATCGTGATGCGCTCGGGATCAATGGGCAGGGACTCATCCGCCAGCACGTCCTTAATCTGGGCGACTAGATCGTAGGTGGCGGTGGGGAAGGGGTGTCGCG